GACCACGGCCGGGGCACAGCTTCCGTCGGGAGGGCTGGGAGGTGGCATTCTCCCACATCACACGGCGGGGCGCATGGGTATGAGGGGGTCACCTGGCTGAAGGAATTAAAAGTAATTTCACAGATGCTTCCAGCCAGCGATCCCCACCCCGCTCTTTTTTTTTTTTTTATAATGTTTATTATTTTTGAGAGAGAGAGAGAGAGAGAGAGAGACAGAGACAAGCAGGGAAGGGGCAGAGAGAGAGGGAGACACAGAATCCGAAGCAGGCTCTGGGCTCTGAGCCATCAGCACAGAGCCTGATGCGGGGCTGGAACTCACGGACCGCGAGATCGTGACCTGAGCTGAAGTCGGACACCCAACTGGCTGAGCCACCCAGGCACCCCCAAATGTTTATTTAATTTTGAGAGAGAGAGAGAGACAGAGAGAGTATGAGTGGGGGAGGGGCAGAGAGAGAGGGAGACGCAGAATCGGAAGCAGGCTCTGGGCTCTGAGCCATCAGCACAGAGCCCGACGCGGGGCTCGAACTCCCGAACCCTGAGACCATGACCTGACCCGAAGTCAGACGCCCAACCGACCGAGCCACCCAGGCGCCCAACCCCCACCCCCACCCCTCACCTCCCACCCCCCCGCTCTTTTTAAAGGAATGCATTCAAGACAGGAGACACGGCAAACGTGGCCTGGCTGTAGCATGGTCCCTAACTGGGAAAAACTGGAAACAATCGTAGTGTCCAACCACAGGGGACTGATTTATTGAAATCACAGTCCACCCCTGTAAGGGAGTATTGCTTTCACCAAAGAACAGGGGAATTCTGTGTCTGAGACTGGGGGGGCGCGGGGGCCGCGCCCCGGGGCAGGCAGTCGCTCCCCTGCTCCACCCGCACGGCCCCTTTTCAGGGTCAGCGGGGACCTCCAAGGTGCTAACCCCCAACAACTCCTCTCTGCTTCCGCCTGGTCCTCTCCGTCATCCCCAGCTGGGAACAGCGCAGTCCCCGCCTCCCTGGTCCCAGGCTCCCGCCCCCGCCCCCACAGTCCGTCCTCCCCGCAGCGGCCACCAGAGGGTGCCCGGGAGCACCTGAGTCAGGTCCCGCCCACAGCCCTCCAGGGCTCCCACCTCCCTGGGGTAGAAGCCCAAAGCCTGGGGCGCCTGGGTGGCTCCGTCAGCTGGGCATCCAACTCTTGATTTTGGCTCAGGTCATGATCTCACGGTTCGTGAGTTCGAGCCTTGCGTTGGGGTCTGTGCTGATGGCGCGGAGCCTGCTTGGGATTCCCTCTCTACTCCTCTCTGCCCCTCCCCTGCTTGTGCTCTCTCTCTCTCTCTCTCTGTCTCTCAAAACAAACAAAAAAATTTTTTTTTAAATTTACGCATGTGTTCAACCCTCCGTATTTACACAAAATAGCTCCAGGATGGCTAGGCCGTGGGGACACGGTTTTTTCTAACTAGAGTGTCCTAGTGTCACGAGGTAATTTTGGTTTGGGCCTCGCCGTATCCAGTCAAAACACTAGTTTCAAAGCCCCATTTGTAGCCCAGCTGGCTTCCTGTGGTTTTCCATTCGGGGATTCCCACCGCATCCTGCGTGATCCTTTTCATCGGCTACCATTTGTGTGACATCGGACGGTGACAGGAGAGTCACAGCTCTTCTGAAGGGCGTGCCCCGAGAGGTCGCCCCTCACCCGGCTAGTCTCTCCCTTCCCTTGTCTCTTGAGACCCTTTCCCAACGGCCCCTGTAGGGAACCAGCCCCCGAGGTTGTCTGGAGCCCATCCACCCACACCGGGACTCAAAGATCCGGCCGCCAGGCCCTGGGGCCAGCATGGTGGCTGCAAAGGGGACCAAGACCCTGTCCTTACACGCATGGGGCCCACAGTCAAGTAGGGGGACAGTCATGAGACCAGGCAGGGGTCACTCGGTCTGTGGGGGGGAAAGGACGCTGGAACGGCTTGACCGGGGCCCCCCAGATGCATGCCCACGCCCCACTTTCCGGGTGCCTCTGGCCTCATTTGGAAAAAGTGTCCTCGCAGATGTGGTTAAGGGTCTGGAGACGAGGACAGCATCGTGGGTTATGCAGGTGGGCCCTGAAGCCCAGGCGGAAGGTCACAGGCCGATGCGATTTGGGGACAACAGACCCGAAGTGTCCAGGGGCCAGTAGGGGCCACTGAGACGGGCCGGTGCCACAGAAATTACTTTCAAATACACTACATCCCATGCACACCTTGGGTGCTGTGTTTCTTTGTTTATTATTATTTTTTATCTTTTAAAGATTATTTTGAGAGAGAGCGCGCATGCGCGCGCGGGGGCAAGGGCAGGATGAGAGGGGGAGGGAGACTTCCCGAGCAGGTTCCACGTCGTCAGCACAGAAGCCTGGCGCGGGGCTTGAACCCACAAACCGTGATATCATGGCCGGAGCGGAAGTCAAGGGCCAGACGCCTGACTGACGCACGGAGCGGATGGGGCTTCGGTCAAAGTCTCTCTTTCCACTTCCGGAGGGGGTGGGGTGCGAACGGTGTAGGCGGCCTAACTGGGAGCCTTTGAGAGACAAGACGGGCCTGGGGCCCCGAGGGCTGGCCCCACGGGAGAACCAGGGGACATGCAGGCACAGCGGGGGCGTGGGGACTGCGGCCTCCCGCTCACCCGAGGTCTGGGGTGAGCGCGTTGCTCTCCGTAAGGGGCCCGATAGGAGTGCGTCTGTCTTTGCAGGCAGGGTGGGCTCGGCCCCTGGAGGGCAAAAGCCACCGGAGGTAACAACTAACCGAATGGGCGTGGCCGTGTGCCAATAAAACTTTATTTACAAAAGACAAAAACAAGCGGAAGGCCAGATTGGGCTCGAGGGCCATGGGTGGCTGAGGCCGGTCCCAGGACTATATACTCACACGCCGGGCACCTGTCCCCAGTCTTTCTGATAGGCTGTCCCTTGAGGGCTCAGATCCTTTTTTTTTTTTTAACATTTTTCTGTTTTGAGAGACAGACCCGGAGCGGGGGAGGGCACAGAGAGAGGGAGACGCAGAATTGGAAGCAGGCTGTCGGCACAGAGCCCTATGCAGGGCTTGAACCCACAGACGTGAGATCATGACCTGAGCGGAAGTCGGATGCTCAACCAACCGAGCCACCCAGGCGCCCCAAGAGGGCTCAGATCCCTGAAACGTCACCTCCCAGACATCTGCTCTGAGAGGTCTCTGTGGCCACCAGCCGACCCTCTGTATTGGTGCCCCCCCCGTTCCTGAGCCCTAAACTCCAGAGAACCAGCAACTGTCTTTCCCTTCTCCCCGGACTTCTCTCCAGGGCCCGGCCCAGCACCCGGGGCCAGGGCACCAGGCACCCCCACCGGCTGGGCTGCTCACCTGAGGGGTGCAAACGGCAGGCCCTCTGCAGCCAGACCGCCTGGGTCCGCGGCCCCCTCCTCGGGGCTGAGGACAGACAGTGGCCGCCAGGCCCTGGGGAGGCTCAGAGGCCCCTGGAACAGGTGGGGAAACGGAGTCCTGGCTGGGGGCAGGGGCTCCCCGAAAAGGAGGATCCGAGAAGTGGGGTGAAGGTGGCGGTGGCAGGTGATTTTATCAAAGGAACTCGCTGTCCAGGACGCCACCACCTCGCGAGGACGCCCTTTGCCGGGGAGGAAAAACCGAGCACCCCGTTTGGGGTCCCCCACGTCGCTGGCGGTTCGTCCCCAGTCCTGCACCAGCTCCTGGGGGGGGGGGGTTCTAGCCCCAGGTCCCCGTCTCGAGTGTCCCGTCAACATGTCACCTGCACGCCGGTCTCTCCCAAGGGCCCCCCTCCCCGCTCCCAGGCCCGGTGTGTCCAGCTTCCCATAAGTCCAAGCTGCTCTCCCTGCCCCTGGCCTGCCTCACCCCAGCCTGTGGCCAAACCACCTTTCCAGATGCTCAGCGAGTCCCGTCAGCCCCGGACCCCAGGCTCCTGCCCTCATCCACCCCCGCAGCCCGGCCTCCACAGAGCGGCCACCAGAGGGCGCCGCCCATGAGCACCAGAGTCAGGTCCCGCCTCCTCTGCCCACAGCCCTCTAGGGTCCCACCTCCCTGGGGTCAAAGCCCAGGTCCTCCGGAGGCCCACAAGGCTGTGCACGACCTGCCCCGTCCCCTCCCTGTCCTCCCGTCCCGCCCCACCCCACCTCGCTCACTCCGCCCCAGCCACACAGGCCCCCTCACCGCTCCTCCGATATGCCAGGCCAGGTCCTGCCCCGGGGCCTTTGCACGGACCATGCCCTCTGGCACTCTATCATCTCCTTCAAGACTCCCCGTGCGAACGTAACACCCTTTCCCCTGCTCTTTCTACCTCCCCGGATGAGCCATACTTACCGGCTGCCTCGCCCAGTCCTGTTGGCTCCACCAAGGCGGGGGTCCGACCTGCTGCCTTGGTGCCCCCCCCCCCCCAGGACCTGTTGGATTCGTGGCACATTCACAAAGCCTGGGGGCCCAGCCTCATGCCAGGCCTGGGAGACCCCCCAGTGTGGCACCCTCCTCGGCTCAGACGTCACTGGAACTGGGTCGTGGTCACGAGAGCAGTGGGAGAAGGTGGCCACTGGCCCCAGACAAACAAGGGGTCAAAGACAGAATCTTTTTGTTTTTTAAACCTTTCTTTAAGTTTATTTATTTTTGAGAGAGAGCGTGAGTGGGACAAGGGCAGAGAGAGGGAGACAGAATCCGAAGCAGGCTCCAGAGCCCAGTGCGGGGCTCGGTCTCATGAACTGTGAGTTCATGACCTGAGCTGAGATCGACCCTGACTGAGCCACCCAGGCGCCCCCAGAGTTGTCCTTCGGGCGGGGGGGGGGGGGACCTGCTGCCTCAGTCACCGCTGCCACCAGCCTGCCTGTGAGTGGAGCCCGACAGACTCTAGGAAGGGGTGTGGGGGGACGCAAGCCGCGGCCAGACGTCGGCCGGGAAGAACCACCCTCCATCAGGGAGCCCGGAGCGGGAGCGAGGGGCCAGGCCGCCCCCCACCCTCCTGGGGGCCCGCCCCCCACCCCGAAATGAAGACACCGCCACGCCGGGGAGCTCTGTTTCGCAGTGCTCACGAGCCTTTAATTCATTATGAACCTAGAGGCAAAAATACAGCGCATCCTTAATCTTGGGTGGGAGCAAAATCAGGGCGGGTGGCTTTGTTTCTCGTTTTTGTACATAGACACGGGTATACGTTGGTGGGGAAATGTGCGTTTCCCCTTCGCCGAGCCGCGGCCTGTCTGCACGTCGCCCCAGACCCAGACCCAGACCCAGACCCAGAGAGACCCTGCCTGGGTCTGGCCCACCCCTCCGCCCGAGGGCCAGCCCCCTTCCTCCTGTTCCCTTTACAATATAAATAGCATTTTCAAACTACATATGAACACAGTGCCGGCGCCCCGCGGGGCCGCCGCATGCAGAGGGGGACCCCCACATCCGGCGGGCTCCCCGCGGCACCTCCCGCCCCCGCCCCCGCCCCCTCCAGGGCACCTGCCCCCCGCCCCCACCAACGAAACGCAAGGTTCTCGGCTCATTTACATCTTTTCTGTTCTCCTTATATAGTTCTTTCTGGCGGGGCAACCAGCAGAACACTCTTTTTAATTTTTTTTTTTTTTTTTTTACACGAGCAGATTCTGCCGGCAATCCCTGGGCAGGACGGCAGGGGCCGCCGCGGTGGGCAGGTGGGCAGGTGGGCGGGGGCCCAAAGCCCCTCACAAGCACACCTCGGAAATCCCGGTTCCTCCGTGCTGACATCAGCGTCCCCCAGACGCACAGACCCACGTCTCCCAAGCAAGACGCGGATGCCATTGGCCCCTCGGGGTCCAAGGCAGGCACCCCTGCGCCGGTGGGGCAGCGGCCAGGGCCTGGGGCCACCGGGAACCCCCGGACTTGGGCCACGGGGTGGGGGTGGGGGGCCGGGGAGGAGAGCTGGCTGGTTTCACATCCTCCCTCCCCAGACAGCCACGGATGTCACCCACGCTTGTCGGTGAACAGACGCCCGGCCACGCACACGGCCTGGAGGGGGACGCTCTGGGGACACGGAGCCTTTTGCAGACAGCGCGGAGGCCCCCCGGCCGGCCGGCAGTGCAGTCACGAGGAGAAGAAGCAGGAGAGGGAACAAACCAGGAGAGAGCGTGTTTATTTCGTGAAGGCGCGCGGGGACCGGAAAGGGGCTCTGCGACCCCTGCAGCTGGTGGTCGCCCCCAGAGGGAGCAGGCAGGGCCGGCCGCCCAGACCTTCGCCAAGTCCCGGAGAGAGGAGGGACGGGCCGACGCCTGTCACCCTGTCACCGGCACCCTGCCTGGCCTCCCAGGTGCCACCGGGCCTCCCCGCATGCGGGGCACCTCCCTGCCGCTGGTGCGCAGACAAGCGAGGTTTTAAAACAATGACCGACAAACCAACAAGCCAACAAAAAACCCGAGATGCTTTTATCTCCCTCAGCGTATCTTGGTTCTGGAAAAAAAAGAACGTTTCTGTTTTGTTTTGTTTCGTGTTTAAAGCCACAAATCTAGAAAACAACTTTGGGGATTTTTTTTCCTTTTCTTTGTTTTCCTTTTTTTCCTCGTGTTTTTTTAAACAACAGGTATTTCTAGAAAGAGCCTCACAAAGGTCACGTATGTACAGAAGTCACAACCTCCAAGGCTGCTCAGGAGGCAGGCAAAGCAGTAGCACCTTTTCGAGAAGAGCTTACATGGTTTACGAATCTGAGTCGTGGGGGTGGCGCGAGTCCCCGGCCGGCCCCCCCAGAGCCCGCGTGGCCCTGCTCCCTGAGTCCGGGGGGGCCGCGCGCCGGCGTCCTGCTGGCTCCTGTCGCCGCAGAGCGGGGGCGGCCGCGCAGAGGTAGCCTCTCGGGGGGCCGGGGAGGCGAGGACAGGAATTCACAGCAAGCAAACGCCAGGGCCGGCCGCCGCCTGCCTTGCTGGGCCGAGGGGTCGCCGGGCGGCCGGCTGTCCTAGAAGGGGGCCCCGGGCCGGCACTGCGCCCGCAAGAGGCTCTCCATGAACGCTAGGTAGTCCGGGTTCCGTCCTGAGTCCTCGGGGGCGCGTGGGGTGCCCACTCGCGGGCGCTTGGCGGCCTTCACCTCCTCTCCCGAGAAGGTGTTCTCCTGAGGTGCCCCCGTGCTGAGCGACTGCGGGAGACCAGACGGCGCGGGGGTTAGCGTGGCAGCGGGGCGCCCCCAAATCCGTCTGTGGGAGCCTGACCCCTACGGGGACGGTATCGGGAGGAGGCCGTGTGAATGGGATCGGGGCCCTTAAACAAAGAGGCCCACGGGAGCTCCCCCTCTCCCTCCTGCCACCAGAAGGGAGGCGTCTGTGACCCGGAGGCCACCTTCCCCAGCCACCAAATCTGAGCCCACACGTTGGCCTCAGGACCGTGACAGGCGACGTCTGTGGTTGAAAATCCCAAGATGCCTCGTCACGGCAGCCCCCCGGGGGACTCCGCGCGGGCACTCAGCTGAAGCACATGCCCGCGGCCTCCAGGCACGGTCCCTCGACCGGTGACCTTCTGGGAGTGACACCGGTCACCAGGGATGGCTGCCCAGCGTTCCGGCCTCTGCGTGAGCCCCCAATCCCGTGTGCGAGCCATCCAGGCCCCCCTAGTCACGGGCCCCGGGGAGCGGGCGCCCAGAGCCTGGGCTGTCCTCCCAGAGGGTGGCTGGGTGGCCGGGCTCCGTCTGGGCCCCCTGTGCTTCCCGGAGGGATCCTGGGGTCAGGTCGGCCTTGCAACCCACGCCAGCTCTTACTTTGAGCTCATTCACCGATGGCCACAGGCCCCTGCTTGTCAAAACCTTGCCTTTGCATTAAAGACGGAGAAACACAAATGCAAAGGGCCCAGGAGAAAAAGCCCCGTCACCATCCCTCGCCTCTGGGACTCATTGTTCCCTTTGAAAAGGGATGAGCTTTGGAGAAGCTCTGAGCTCAGGTTTTGTGTTCAGGCGGCCTGCGGCCTGTGCACCGAGCACAATGCCCTCCCCCCCCCCCCCCCCCATTCGCCTCCTCCTGGCTGGGCTGTTCCAGCCCTGCGACTAAGGACGACTAAGGACGACTAAGGACGAGGGGGAGGTCAAGGCCATTTGCACAGGCTGCTTCCACAAGGACCACTAACGGCTTCCGGGGGCCGCGTCCCCACCCTGTTCTGCCACTTACCAGCCGCGACCGGACCCTCTTGGGGAGCTCCTCGTCCAGGGTGAAGATGTCCCCGCGCTTCACCATCAGCTGGGACCCGTCCTCGAACTCCACCTGCAAAGGGAGCCGGTTCTCAGCGGCGGCCCCGCTGGCCAGCCCTGCCCTGGCGGCCTCCCCGCCCCCACTCATCCAGTAGGAGCACCCAGAGAGGGAGGGGTGAGGGGTGTGCCACGGAGAGATCCAGGTGCTGGCGGAACAGCCAAGGACGAGCGGCCGTCGACTTTGGTGGCGGGCACATGGGTGATTTTCTTCTAAGACTTCAAGCTGCTGAATAACTTCCCTTCCACAATCACGGAAAGAAACTCACAACCACCGCGATTAAAAAAAAAAAATGTGGGGCGTGGAACTGTATGCTAAAAAATGCTTGAAACAGTAAATTTTATGTCTGTAGGCGTACCACACGCGGAGTCAGAAAGACAACTTGGGGGGAAAATACCGGACAAGTGGAGACCCCTCCCCGCTTAAAGGCCTCAGAAGCCCTGAGCGTTTACGTCCCCAGCGGGAGCGGGAGCTGGCCACGGCCCGTCTGTGGCTCCGTCCCTGCCCCGGCGAAGCAGGGGCCGGCTCACCTGATAGACGTGGCTCGTCACGGAGGAAATGAACCTGGCCTTGTACATGTTGCCATCCGCCCACCGAAGCTCAACAAACTCGCCCTCGGGTGGGGGTCCCAGCCGGACACAGTCCCTACTCTGCAAGGGAGGAAGGGGCGGCAAGTGGGGCTTCAGCGCCTCCCACGCCTCCCACTGTCATCTGCCCTGGCCCTCGAGCGTGTGCACAGGAGGGGCGTGGCGTTCCGGGCCCGAACTCTCCCAGCGAGTGCGTGAGCACAGGCGACTCTAGAACTGACTGCTTCCCGCTCAGCGTCTGCACAAGCCGGGTGTGGGGGGCCGGGCCCCGGGGCCAGGCCGAGACCGGGTCGAGCAACGTTCCCCGTTGACTCAGCCAACCCGGCGGTTCCCCCTCCCATTCCCCCACTTTCAAGGGCACACGAAAGCCTTGTCAAGGCTGAGAGAGTTCATTCCTGAAGCCTGTGGTCTGCAGGTGTTGGCAGTAATGCTACGTCCCTTTTTCTACCCCGAGTCAGATAGACACAGACATGGGAACTGTGTTTTGCTAGCAATCTATCAACAAGGTCTTGTGACCCGTTCAGAAAGTTCACAAGGTACACAGAACTAAATGTTGTGGCTGGCAGTGATCACGTGAAACCTGTTTATTCTTAGAATGACCTGATCCATAAGAGTCTTGTATTATAAAAGATTGTGTACAGCAACAATAAAGCCGTCACTTGGGCCATCAGCCCAGGGGACCCTCCTGTTCCCAAACTTTCTCTTCTTTTTTCTTACATTCCCCTACCCTCAGGACCCTGACCTCGGTGATTGTCGCGCTGGTCACGACACCCGGGGAGCCCTCCTGCGGTGGTGGGGCCAGGGGAGCATCGCAGGGGCCGAGCCGGCTTCCCGAGGACAGCCCCGCCCCCCCCCACGCCCTCCCCCCTCCCGGGGCTTCCCGAGGACAGCCCCGCTCACGGTAATGCTCTCCGGGTACAGGTTGTCGCTGTAGGACCCATCGTCAAAGTTGACTTCATAGAAGGTCTGCGTGCTGGTGCCGATGACCCGGCAGCGGTAATAGAGCCCGTTGCGGTTCTTGGTGATGACCATCTGGCCCAAGGACACGGCCCTCAGGAACTGGACCTGGGGGCGGCGGGGACAGGGCCGTGTCAGCGCGCAGGCAGCCGGCCGGGGGGGGGGGGGCGGCGGGAGGGGGCGGGCAGGGCACTCACGGTGTGGCCCCCTGACTTGTGCTTGAAGCAGGTGATGGACACAACGTAGGGCCAGTCGTCAGGCTCCATGAGGACCCCGGCGGCGTGGGCGCAGGTCACGTGGAAGGAGGTGGAACAGTGCTCACAGGAGCACTGGATGCAGGCTCCTGACACCTTCTTCATCCGCTTCCGGCAGTACACGCATTTCTGGGGGGACACAGGCCGAGGACATGGGGCTAGGAGGCCCTTTCTGGGACCCCCGGGGCTGTCTCCCGGGAGCGACCCCCCCCCCCCCCCAGCCCCAGGGCAGGAACTCAGCAGCCCCCGGGGGCTGGCGTTTGTCGGGAGAAGCACTGTGGGAAAAGCCCGCAGAACTCTGCATGGCCAGGGGTCTTGACCGTGGCGGAGAGCCCCCCAGACCCAGCCAGTGGCTTCCTCCAGAAGCACTTGTGGATTCTCCTCCACCCACTGTCTCTGCACAGCTGCCTGGGACAGGCACTGAACAGCCACGCACGGGCACGTCCCTCGGCCGGAGCAGGAGCGAGGCGCCCACCCCCGCTGCCCCCTGGACGGGGACCCTGAACACATGACGCGCAGGGAGGGAAGCAGACACGAGAGGCCACGCGGGATACGAGGCCACGCGGGATACGAGGCCACGCGGGATACGAGGCCACGCGAGTGGAACGTCCACAACAGGCTCATCCACGGACGGGAAGGGGGCTCGTGGGGGCCGGGGGCTGGGTGGGTTGACAGCTGATGGGGACGGGTTTCTTTCTGGGGAGGTGGAATGTTCTGGAACCACATCATGGTGATGATTGCCTCAATCCGTGAACGTACTAAAAGTCACTCAACTGTACTTTAAAATGGGGAATTTTACCTTAATTTTGAATATAAGGCACTGTGGAGCCGCCCCCTCCTCCACGCGGAGGCTCTTCCCCAGGAGGGTCTGCCCCGCAGGCTGGCCCTGCCCCCTCCCCGCCCCGAGGGCGGCCACTGTGAGCATTTCCTACACTTACTAAGTGGGCCTTTATCGCTCTGTAAACCGTGTTCAAAGGCCAGATAAGCCGCGCAGCACAGGGCACAGCAGGAGCGCGCCCACCGCCGATCGATGGCAATGAGATCTCATTATTAAACTGTCAATACCTAATCCCGCCAGCCCTCGGGGGCCGGGTGCACAACCACAGGCGGGGGCGCGTTAACCCTCCAGGACTGGGCCTCCTCCGCAGGGGTGGAAGGCGCAGGGAGCCAGGCCCCCACCCGCCGGCGGAGGCCCAGGAGGACCCAACAGCTGGGCTGGCACAGCACAACCCATTTCAGCCCGTGGGTCCCGCGTCGCAGAGAATGAAGGCCAGGCCCCCACCGCACTATTTGTCGGAGCCTCCGGTGCTGGGCGTCTGGGTGTCCCTGGGTGGAGGCTGTACGGAGGGGGTGCAGGGAGGGCGGACATCGTGCAGAGCGGTGGTCTGGGGCAGCCGGGGGTCACCGATGGGCGTGACGCTGGCCGTGGAGGCTGCTCTTGCCTGCAGACGCCCCCCATCGCCCCGTACCAAGTCCTCTGTGCTCAGCCTGCCCCTCACGCCCACCCGTCAACCTGCTCTGGCAAAGGCCCACCCTCCCTCCAGCACCGCCAGACGTCAGCGCTTCCCCTCAAAGCAGGGGTGACGAGAGGGCAGAGCCCGCTCAAACCGCCTGCCCCCCACCAGCCACGCCTGTACCACCCCCATAGCTGATCACAAGCTGACTCGCTTGGAGTCTCCACCGGACCGCGAAGTCCCTCCAGGTCCCATCCCAGCCTGGTGACGGGGGTGAGCATGGGCACAAACCTGGCTAGCCCGGGAGGTGGTCTGGGCTCAGGCCCCCGTAGGCATGGGGCCCGCCCCCACGAGCCAGGGCAGCCCCAGCCCCAGGTAGTCATAGGGACAGCCAGATGGACAGATGACCAGGAGTGACCATCCCCGAGCCCGCGGCCAGCACGTGGCCCTGGGAAGGCGGGCGGGTGGCTGGACAGGCAGGAGTTAACTTCCGGCTTCCTCACGAGGCTCCATTAGGCAGTACAAGTGAGCCTCATGTAGGAGGATTTTTAATTCATCGTTACAAGTACTGGTAATGAAGAGGCTGCAAGCTGGAAATGTCAGATGATCCATAAAGCGTCTGGGAGGGAGGATCTATCACGGGCGCCAAGCACGGCACCATCACGTCCCTGAATGATGAAACCTTTTACACCCGCCGTCCCGGAGGAGCCCCCTGCGGCCACCCGGCCCTTTCCTAATCACCTGTCGGGACTCGGGTGGGGTCAGTGCTGGCTCCGTGACCAAGGCCCCCGCCCTCCCACACAGGCGGCCTCCTGCTGCCCCGTCAACCCGGCCGGGTGGCCCCACAGGACCCCCCGACAGGCCCAGAGCCCACTTCCTCTGCCTTTTGCCCCCCTGCAGCCCGGGGGTGGGCAACACGGGTCCCCGGCGAAGCCGCCCGCGAACTCACGGCCACGACGAGCCTGACGGCGGGAGCTTACGCACAGGCAGGCCCCGTGAACGCTCACCACACAGAAGGCCACGAGCGGCCCAGCCGACGGAGGGGAAAGCTGAGGTACAGAGAGGTCAGCGACCTGTCTAGTCACAGGGCTGGCCGGTGGCCTGCTCATCGTCCCGCTCCGTCCGCTGCCCCACAGGCTCCCCCAGGGGCGACCGTCCTCATCGGTGCGCAGAGGAGGTGTGAGCCCCTCGAGGCCACGGTCCCCTGGAGGACAGCGGAGGATGGCGATGGCGCGCTCCTTGCAGGGAAAGCGCGATGCGCGTCAAGAGGGGCCTAGTTACGGGATTCCTGCAACTCGGTAGCAGAAAAGCAATCCGATTCAAAAATGAGCAAAGGACCCGAATAGGTATTTTTCCAAAGCGGACGTCCGGATGGCCAACAGGTACGTGCAAAGGCGCGCCACATCACTCGTCGTCAGGGAGACGCAAATCAAAACCACGAGATCCCAGCTCACGCCTGTTACAACGGCTCCTACCGAACGGGTAAGTGTAGGCGCGCAGGCGGAGGAAAGGGAGCCCTCGTGCGCTGCTGGTGGGAACGCAAACTGGGGCAGCTGCCGTGGAAAACAGTATGGAGGCTCCTCAAAAAATTAAAAGTAGGGGATGCTGGGTGGCTCAGTGTCTTAAGCGTCCGACTTCGGCTCAGGTCAGGATCTCACGGTTCGTGAGTTCGAGCCCCGCCTCGGGCTCTGTGCGGACAGCTCGGAGCGTGGAACCCGCTTCAGAGTCTGCCTCCGTCCTTCTCTGCCCCTCCCACACACGCTCTCAAAAATAAGTAAACATGAAAAAAATATAACTAAGAAAAAATTTTTTTCCATTAAAAATAGAACCGCCAGGGGTGCCTGGCCGGCTCAGTCAGTAGAGCATCTGACTCCCTGTGTGGGGTTGTTGTTTTTGATCCCCACGCTGGGTGTGGTTATTACTTAAAAAAATAAAAAAAAAAAAAAAAAAAAAAAAATAGAGCCACCATACGATCCCGTAAATTCCACTACAGGGGTATTTACCCAAAGGCAATGAACACATGATTTCAGAGGGGTATCTGCACCCCCATGTTCAGGGCCATGGCCGTGACCCAGAAACAGCCCAGGTGCCCATTAATGGAGGATGGACTGCGGGGACGTGACGTAGCCACAGAGAGAGGCAAATCCTGCCACGTGCAGCCACACAGACAGACCTGGAGAACACTGTGCTCAGTGACAGAAAGCGGACACAGGACACGTCCTGCGTGACCCCGCTCGCAAACTCTGACAGGCAGACAGCAGAACGGTGGTGGCCGGGGTAGGGGAGGGGGGGCGTGTACGTTCGGTGCGTGAAGCTCAGTCCTTCCAGGACAAGGGAGCCGTCCGCACCGCCAGACCGTGCACTGGACAGTCTGTCAGGAGCGCAGAGCCCGAGGGAAGGAATCGGAGGAGACGGGGGCAGGCTGTGCGGCGCCCCCTTGCGCAGGACGGCAAGCACAGGGCTGCTAGATTGTGCAGAGACCGCGTCTCTGCACACAGACCGCAAGCCAGGGGCCTGCTGCGCCTTTAAGAGCAAACAGGTTTGGCCAAGCTGCAATGGGGCGTCTGCGCCCACAGGGCCATGACCCCAGGGGACGTACCAGCTTCCACCGCTGCTCGGGGATGGCGCTGATGTCCACAGGGTGGCGCTCCATCACGTTCAGGAAGCGCACTTCGGGGACCGCGATGGCACAGATCACGTGGATCCACCTGGTTGCGGGGAGGCTGGGGTCAGGGCGCAGAGGCGATCCGCCCCTGCTGGCACGACCACCGCCCACCCCTGCGCCCCGCGTGGCCGCCGGCCGGTTGGGGCTTACAGGATCTTCAGGGGCAGTCTGGGCGCGCTCGGTCCTCCTGGCCCCCCCCACCCCCAGGGGGAGCCCCTCGCCACCCACCTGCGGTCGGTGGTCATCTGCAGGGCTCCGCCCCGGAGGTTACAAAGGCAGCACTCCTGCGGGAACCAGAGAGCCCGGTGGTGAGATGGTGAGGGGGCAGGGCCACCACCTCCCCGCCCTGGGGCCGGTCCCACCCCTGCCCGCAGTCCCGACGTTTCCAACTGGCTAGGCCGCCCAAGGTCACCCTGGGGATCGGGGCCGGGGCCGGGTCCCACAGGCCTCGCGGCTTTCAGAGCACCACCCAGCCGCGGGGGTGAGTTACCGCAGTCCAGGCGTGGGCCGTGCACCGGGAACACGTCCAGCCTTCGTTGACCAGCTCGGGGCGGATGCCGTAGCAACCTGCAAACAAGCGAGGGTGGGGGGGACCACTGAGCCGCGCGGCATCTGTCGCCAGGACGCAGGCCGCAGCTGATGGGGCCTTCTGGAATCCGGCAGCGGCATTTAGGGCGATTGCTCTTCCCACCCTCCCTCCTGAATCCAGGCCACTGCGCACAGCGGGACGGTCTAGAGATGGCTTGTTTGAAACAAGTAGGGGGAAGGAGAGCGGGGCCCCCTGCTGGGGCTGCTCAGCCGAGAGAGAGCGGCCCTCGCTGTCTCCAGTCGCATCTAAAAGGCCCAGGCTCTGCAGGCCAGGCAGGGGAGGCTGGGAAGCCGGAAAAGTGACCACGCAGTTGTACGCAACGCAAAGTGGGCCTCGTGGATGCCAGAGTCCAGACGGCAGAGCGGGGCAGGCCGGGCCCTGTGTTCAGGCAAAATCACTACTCGGGAAAGCAGAAGTTGGCAGGCTCTGGGTTACCCAGATGGTTCGCTTAGGACCTTGGCCCTGGTTTAGAAACGGGCAGACAGCAGGGGCGGGGGAGGGGGGGTGGTGGTGGAGTCAAGAGGTCACGCCCCAGAGCGAGGGCTCTTCTGCCCTACCCCCGGGGTCGCCATCCGGCAGTACCAGGGGACCTCAGCCACCAGGCCACAGAACTGTAGTCTTCTGCTCTGTCCCCACAGAGGCTCTGAGGGACAGCAAAGTGTCCCTCCTGGAGGAAGAGGGGGCCCCACCTCCCTCCAGTGCCTGGTCTCAGGGGGTTATGCTGGGCCTTCTGCCTCCCAGGCTTGTCCCGGAAGCTAGACTCGGGCCCCTCCAGAGGGCGGGCTCAGCCTGGGCCTATGCTCCTAGCAGGAGACAAAACGAGCTCTGGGCAGGACTCCGCAGGGCAGGCCCTGAAATGAAACAGCTCCGGAAAAGCTTTCTTCCCTTGCCGGGAGCTCGGGCTCGCGTTTGCTGCCCCTAACACCGGAGGAAGGGGCACACACCCATTTTCTTGTCTCGGGCTGAGTCGGGCCCTCAGGGTTCGGGAGGGGGGCCGGCCACCGACGGCAGGGACAGATCCGACCCCCTGGACCATCTCTAGATCTCAGGCCTCAGTGGAACCGTCCGAACTGGCCAGGGGGGAGGCCGCCCCGTGACGCCAGGTCCTGTGGGAAGGCCCGAGACGGCAGCCCAGAGGGAGGGGGCCCGCTGGCTCCGCAGACCTAACTGGGTGGGGAGGGGGGGACCCAAGCCACAGGTGCCACAGCTGCCCTCCCACGGGCCGCCGTCCGGGCCCAGGACTCACTGGCGTGAACCTGCAGGCAGCACTTGGCGCAGGCGATCAGCAGGCTGGTCCCGTCGTCGCCGATGTAGGAGTTGGCGGGAAGCGGCTCCGTGTTCTCACCGCCGGACGTGAAGCACATCTCGGGGATCAACGGCCGTGTCTTCTGGCCACTTTTGGAAGGGGGAGCCACCGAGGGACCCTCCCCGAGAGAGGCCTGGGGAGCCTCCTTGTCGGTCTGTAGGGACTGCAGGAATAGGTCGCTGCCTTCAGCGGGGAGCCCACATGGGGCGGCCTCCCCGACTCTGCCCCGTGCCCGCGCCTCTCGTGGCCTCGTCCTCCAGACACCCTGCGGGCTGCTTCTCACTGTCCCCCGGAAGCTGCCCTGTCCGCCCCCCCCCCCCCAGCCCTCAACCCTGAGGCAAGAGCGCTCAAGAGGTCCTCCTCAAACACAGTGAGTCCCTGTCCTGCCACCCTCACTCCCCACCCCAGCTGCCCCTCGACTCCTCTACTCCAACCACGCCAGCCTCCGGACTCCGCCTCCAACACCATCCTGCCCCAGGACCTTTGCGAGCGCCATTCCTGCTGCCAGGAACCTTCAGATTTCCGCTCACTTACGCTTGGGAGCCTAGCCCACCCGCAAGACCAGCGGCCTCCAGCCCTTCACGCCTGCTCTGTCTGTCCACACGGCCCTGTGACTGTGAACCTCTGTGAGGTGTTCCCCCTCCTTCTGACATATGTCCCGTAAAGGCTGTAGCCCAGATCCCGTCCCACGAACAGACTGGTACGAAAACACCCTGCCTGTGGCACCCCGGCCCAGCAGCCCCCAGCCGGTCTCAGGAGCAGCAGGACTCTGCACTGCTCCTGACCTGGGAGGGAGGAGCCCCGCTGGAGGCACTGTGCCTGGCACAGGCTTTCCTCACCCTCGTGAGACAAGCTAGCCCCGGCCCCCATCTACAAGGGCTCCGACCGGAACCGTGGGCGCAATGAACGTTAGCTACTGGACTACAGAGTTCCCAGCGCCCCGACAACCAGCGGCGCTAAGAGGGACGCGCCTGGAGAAGTTGTCTACGTCAAGTTCTGCAAACACTGAATCTGTAGAAACAGCGCCCCGGGCAGCGCTGGGCCGCAGGGCCCTTAAGACAAGTGCGCTGCCCTGGGCCCGGGGCCCAGAGCTCGGGTGGCCCGGCTGACTCAAGGGAAGCGCTGGGTGCCAGGCCAGGAGCCAGGGACCCAAAGTCAACTCGGACCGGGTCCCACCCTCCAGGGACTCCCAGTCCAGGGGCCGATGAACACAGAGAGTGGGAGCGAGGGCGGGTGAGCCTGGGGTGCGGGGTGCCCGGGGACAGCAGGTGCAGGAGGGCTTAGGAAAGAGGAAGCAGCTCAGCAGACTCAGGGATGAACAGAAATCTGTCCGGCAAGGCAGGGGGCCGGAGACCTCGGGGGTCAGCTGTGCGCACGGCAGGGGACAGGTGTCACGGCAGAGGAAGGCCGTGCGCGCCCCGTGCAGAGGCTGGTGGAGCTTCCGGCCAGGGAGCCCGTGGCTAGAGTGGCCTCCAGAACGTGCGCCAGGGCCTCAGGCAGGGGGGCCGTCGAGGGAGGAAAGAGCTGGAAGGCAGGTCAGGGTGTGGGGGAGGGGCCACGGGGAGAAACAGCGGTGAAGCAGCAAACAGGGCAGGGCCTGGTGGCCGATGGCTGGGAAACACAGGACAGAGCGGGACCCAGCCAGGAGTGAGTGTAGGACAGGAGCGTCGGGCTCAGTGGAGACCGCCTGGGGCTCCTCACAGCCCTGCCGGGTGACACGGGGTGTCCTGCCTCTCGGCCTCTCGGCTCAGAGGCCCGACCGGTCAGGGCCCAGCTCCGTGCCGCCCCTGAGGGACCGCTGAGGCCGGCCACCTGCCGATGGCCACCTGCACGCCCCCCTGCCAGGCCCCGCCCCCTCCACCGGCTGCCCCGTTTTTGTGCCATCGGTCAGTCACTCTCTGGTAAAGCTCAGAGGCCGGGCTCTCCCCTTCTCCCCGCAGCCCTTCCAAGGGCTTCACGCGGCCCCAAATGCCAACAGCTTCTGCCTGTCACTCGGCGGCTGTCCCGCACCCCCCTGGGCCGCCCGCCGGGCGGCTCCAAACTGCTCCCCCCGCAAGTGGCCCCGCGGGGGCACGCGCGGGGGGGACCCCCCCCCCCGGAGCTCCCTCACCTGGGTGTAAGGGTAGAAGAGAGTGCAGATGGCGCAGTAGGGCTCGGTCAGGGCGGCCGCCGCGTTGAACTTCCTCTCGGCCTGGAAACCGGCAGCCTTGTTCTTCCACTGCAGGGAGAGCAAAGACCTCAAGGCCTCGGGGCCACTCATGTCCTCCTCCCCGGAGAAAGGGAAGGCTTCTAGAGGAAAACAGGAGGGCGGGAGGGGACGGAGAGAAACCTGGGCATGGCTGGAGGCCCAGAGGAACCCGTCCCCACCCTGCGGGCGCTTCGCCGCGGGGAGCCCCGGGGGTGACCGGCCCCCACTTCCGCGGCCTTGGCGGGTCTGGCGCGGACTCCCCGGGCTCAGCCGCGCCGAGAGAGGCACGCGGGGGGGACCGAGGAAGAGCGGCGTCACTCCCCCGCTCTGGTGACCCCGTGTCACTACCAAGATGGAGGCTGCCAACAGCCGTCCCTCCCACCTCGCCTGTCACCTGTCACGCCTGCTCTCCCTAGCAGCCAGCCGCGCCCCCCCCCCCCCCCCCCCCCAGCCCACTGCCTCGCTTCCTGGGGACCCAGGGCCGAGCCCCCCGATGCTCCACAGGAGCCCTCCCCGAGAAGCGGGTGCTCATTCCCCAGGCCCCAAACCCCACAGCAGCTGGGCCGGCAAGGCATGGTGGGAAGAGAAGGCAGACAGGAGTCTGGAGGCCTGGGCCTGGGCCTCGAGCCTCAATGAGAGTGAGGGGGAGGTCGGCGCAGACCCCCAAGATGCACTTGTGGGTCTCCTACGGCCCAGGGCGGGGGGTGGGGGGGCTGGGCCTGACTCACGGGCCAAGACTGCTCTGCCTGGGGACACGGAGACGCCAAGCAGGCACAGGCACCCCGCCGGTGACGAGAGCTGCTGGCCTCCTTCTGTCGCCAAAGAGCCCAGGCCCAGACGGTCTCACAAGAAAGCGCCAGAGGGGCTGGTGGGGGAGGCCTTGGAGGCACTTTCTGGAAAGGTGACGCTACCGTCTTTCAGACAGTAAGGCCACGTCTGGCCCCCCTGTGAGCTTCCCTTGCCCTTGGGGGCCCTGGCCCTGCCGTCCCAGGTGCTTCCAGAGCCCCTCCTCCCCCCAGCCCTCAGATCAGATGGGGAAACGGAAGGAGCCGCCCAGACGACCGGGCACAAATTCCACATAAAGAAAGGCCGATGGTGAGGATGAAAACCTGGCTTAGCGGGATTTCTGCCGGAGGCCTCAACCCTGGCTCTTGGCTCCCCAGGTTTGTTCCAATCTCCCTACAGTGGCCTGGCCACAGGACAGGTCACGGTGCGACTCTGGGGACAGCTGCCCCCCCCCCCCCCCCCCCCCCCCCCCCGATGTTGGCGTGGCACTGCTCCTATGGGCACAGCCCTGTGATCGTCTAACGGCAGAGTCATTTCCCAACCCCCCACACGGGGGGGGGGGGGGGGGGGGTGCGGCCGGCGCGGTGGTGCTCGCTTGCTGGCCTGCTCTGCAAATGTTCTAGAAGCCTACTCTGTACCAGGCATCCGAGCAGACCCTGAGCCCTGAGCCCCTGAGAGGGAGAGGCACGGTCCTTGCCCACCTGGGGGCCGCACGGGGGCCACGGGAGCGGGGGGGCAGGGGCGGGGGCAGCCCCCCCAGGCCTGGGGGAAGGAGCCTCTGGCAGGAACAGCACCTGCTCGGCTCTGACGAGAGCAGGTGCGCGGCGGGTAAAACCACAGGCAAAACGCGCCGCATCAGCAGTAACCCAGCCTCGGCATTCCCCGCACCCGCCACGGGCTCAGCACCACGGGCACGCTCCGTAGGCACTGGCTCCGTGCGCCTTCCCGGCAGAACGCCCCACGGGGCCGGCAGCCCTCAGTTTACAGATGGGGAGACTGAGTTATAGAAACGTTAAGTGTGGGCTGTGGTTGGAGCCCCAGGACCTGCGCCCTGCCCCTCCTAGGCCACGTTGTGCGTTTCAGGCCCTGGCCCCGGCACAAAGCGCGCACCCCAAGGTGGGAAACAGCGAACGGGGGTGGCGGCAAGGCCTTGGGGTGGTCAGGCCGGACTGTGGGGAGCACTGCAGGAGGAGCGGGGGCTACTCAGTCCAATATTCCGTGCAGGGGTGGGGGTCTGGGGGCCCGACCTCGGTCGGTGGTGGGGCAGGCAGCGGAGGGAGGCCAGGGCAAGGGCCACCGGGGGAACAGGCGCCCTCGCTCACCCTCGTCACTCGAGGCCTCCTGCTTGACCACGGTCAGCGGGGAGCGGGTGGGTGGCTTGCCCAGGGGGTGGCGTCTGCTTTTCTTGATTTCCATCTTCAATTTGGAAAATGTGGACGGTGCCTGGAATGCAGAACAAGAGGCATCTGGGGAGGGCATGGCTCTGACACCCCGAGCAGAGCCCGGCCTCCCAGGGCAGAGGGGACAGCCTGGCTTCCGCAGCAGGCCGGAGTCCCCAGCCGTGGGATCAAGGCCCCAGGAAGGGCTGGCCGGGAGTTACTGTGGTTCCTCTGGGATGCACCGAGGGGGCTGGTTCAGGCGAGCAGGGCCGTGGTGGGAGCCCCGGGCAGGTGGGAGCCCCAGGGACCTCCGCGGACACCCCCCTACCTGCACCTCGCCGGCTCTGCTATCCTCCTCGGGACCCGTCAGCTCCATGGGGGCCGCCTGTTCCTTCCAGGTGGGGCCCCTCTGGGCAAAGTGCTCAAAGGCCTGCTGGCAGGACACGCGGCCCTTGTCACACAGCGTGCTGGGCCGCGGCACCACATACAGCATGGGGATGATGGGGCGTGGCTTCACCTCTGGCTCCTCGCCAGGTGCCTCGGGGGGCACGACGTTGAGAGGCGGTGGGGGGGGGTTCTCCTCGGCTGGTGCGGGGCCCGGGGCCAGCGCTGGGGACTCCAGCAGGGGTGGCAGCCTGGGTGCCTCCTCGGCGGGGAACTGGGCAGGTGGGGGCGGCGGCAGCTGGGGCAAGAGGGCGTGGTGGGGGTGCAGGGGACCATAGCTCTTTTTCTTCCTGTCGCTCTTGGCCTTGGCTGGCCGCAGCTTGCCCCTTCCGTCTTCTGCGGGGAAAGAGGAAAAGACAGGTCGGTGCCGAGGCCAGCAGCCCCACACCCTCCTGCGAGCCCCCCAGAGAAGAGCCACATTGTGGTTCGGACTCCTGCAAAGGGGGGGGGGGGGGGGGGGGGACTGCTCCAAACGTCATCAAGGAGCGGGACGGGCGCAAGGCGGTACCCAGGTTTTGTAGATTTCTACACGTAAAGCATACGTCCTGTGGAATTTGTTTTAAAGCGAAACCTCAAACCCCAAACCGTGAAAAGTGGTCGCTTGAGCAGAACTGGAGAGCCTGCTGGGCCTGGAGGGCCACCCCCGAGGGCCGGTGCTGGGGGATGTCCGGCAGGTGGCAGGGCAGGGCGGGAGGCAGGCCAGGGGTGTCTTCAGTGGTGTTTTAACTGGGGGCCAGCACATCAGAGAAAACTGAATGGATGAGCAAACGTCTGGTGGAATCACGGTCCCCAAAGATGCCCGCGTCCTGCGAATGTGGAGCCTGACGTGGCGGGAGGCTGCGGAGGAGTTAACGATCGTAGGACAGGAGAAGGTTTGGATGGGCCCAGCGTACTAACGGGGATCCTTAGAAGCCCAGGGTCTTTCCCAGCTGTGGCCGGAGGCAGAGGGACCCGCGGGAGAAGGGTCAAAGACACCCTGGCCCGCTGGCTTTGATGAGGGAGGAGGGGCCCCAAGCCAAGGATGCGGTGCCTCCAGAAACGGGGAGAGGCAAGGAACAAACACACTCTTCCCCCGGAGACCCGGGCAGGGGCCAGCTCTGCCTTGTTTCGGCCCCGTGCGACCCGGGCCAGCTGCTGCCCTCCCGGTGCCAGAACGTACGTGTGAGTCTGAGGTCACAGTCGCGGAAGCCACAGGGAACTCTGTAGGTCGTGACCCCCGTGAGGCCCGCCGTGCTCAGGACGAGGCATCGGGGACCCCGGCCCTCAAGGACATAACCAGCCTGGTGGCCCACTGGAGCGCGGAGCCCACAGCACAGTGGGCCCGGGAACCCCCGGGCCTCGCCTGCCCCAGTGGAGAATGGGCACACGAGCTCAGGCCCTGCTCTGCATGTCCCAGGTCCCCAGTGACGGCAGAGGCTGCCTGGTCTGCCTAGGCCCGAGGGCCTCCTGGGGAACCTGGGAGGAGCTGGTCGCCCGCCCTGCTGAGGGTACTCGTGAGGCCGGGGTGCCTACGGTCTGGGTCTCCCTGAACCGGCCCCGGGGAAATTAAGGAGACACCGGGGGCCGGGGTTCCCTCCCTCTCCAAGAAGGCAGCCACCAAGGTGAAGCACCTGCGCTCTGGTTTGCAACAGGGCCCCGTTTCACCTCTTGCCGCATCTACGTGACCTTGAAAGAGGTGAGGCTCCTCACCCAAGAGGTGAGGGTATTTCACGTCACCCTTGACCTGTGCCGACCCAGGAAGCCGGCAAGCATGGGCGTCCCATCCTGCAGACAGCCAGCCCCAACCGCTGGGACGGAGCCAAACTGCCGACTCGCCCCCCGCCCCCGCAACACCCCACGGCCTCTGGGAGCAGTGGAGCAGTGGAGGCTCCAGGCCAGGCCCCCTCCCCTCTCCTCCCCTCACCTCCCCTCTCCTCCCCTCTGCTCCCCATCTGCAGGCCACAGCCCTGCCCTGGCTGCAGGGATGGCCCGAGGCCTGAGCACTCCGAGGGCCCGTGGGACTCCTCCCCCTCCCTGTGCCGCCGCCCCCCCTGCAGGAGCCCCAACTGCTCCCGAGGCCCCCCTCCTGCCTGCGCCTCATGAATAGTTATCTGGCTGAGGAAAGCACATAATAGACGTTCTCTGCTCTGCAGACAAAACCATTTCTCCCCTACAGACGCGGGGCTTAGATGGCTATGAAAGGTCGCCCGTGGAGGTGGGAGAAGCATCTGGGGTGGAGGCTGGGCGGGGGGGAACGTGGAGGTGCAGGGAGAGGAGGTGGAGAGACAGTGTGGGAGGGAACAGGCTCGAGGTGGGGAAGAGACGTGGGGGGGGGGCCGGGGAGGGGGGTTGGGGGGCAAGCCATGTGGCTGGGGGGGGGGAGAGCCCGAGCAGGGAGAGATGTGGGGAAGCCGTGGCAGGGGTGGGGAGACGCAGAGGAGGGGACGTGCCGGGGGCAGGGACACACCTGGCGGGAGAGACGTGGGGGGGGGGGGTGACCCAGGGCCCCAGGGGCGAGCGGCGAGGCAGGTCGGGGCTGCACGCGGCCCTGCTGCTTCTGCTGATCTACAGAAAGGGCGACAAGGCTGTCCTCCTTGTGGAAGACGCGCTTTCTGATAAACGGCTCTGTTCTCTAAGGAAGCGCGACACCCCCACCCTGACGGTGCAAACCTACCGAACGGAACCCTAGCCGAGCTCTCCCCAGCCGGAGGACAGTGGGACCCACTTACTGTCTCTTTACTGTCAAGCAAGAGGCCCTACTGTCCAAGAAGAACACGCCGGGCCTCTTCCCATCTTGCGGGCTCTAGGAAACCGAGGGGGGACACACCCAGGGGACCGTTAGGGGACGAGCCAGTGGCCAGGAAGGACACGTGGGCGCTCAGGGCTCTGTCCTTGCCAGGGGAACCGCCACAGGGCCTCCCCCTGGGGACCCCATCAAGCCCCTCACCTGCCTGGGCCTGAGGGAACCCTGACACGGAGCAGGGGACAGTCACACGGGCGGGGCTGAGGGTCCCGGCCAGGGATCTCCCCCGCATGTGAGCCTGTCCCCTCCTCCCTCGAGAATGGCAGGGACCGCCCCCCACCACCACCCCAAGCTGAGGACGTCCCAGCACCTCACGGGCCACGGTAAGTCACAGCCAAGAATCCCCCACCTTCAGATCTGAAAGGCCTGTCTGGTTGGGGAGCTCACGGCTGGGGCACCGAAGTTCCCCAAGCGGAGCGCGCCCGAGTTCCAGGCGGATCTGGGGCCCTAAGCTCAGCAGCGCTGCCCGCTGCCCGAGGAAGGCGGGTGAGGCACCACCAGGGCGGTTCTCCCAGGCTGCTGCCAGCTTTAGGGACCACCCCCAGGCCTGGGAGGGCTGGTCCGGTCCCCAGACTCCACCCTCCTCCTGTGTGGAACCTGAGGCAGGGCACACCCGTGGCACAGACACCTGGCTGGACTGTGCTGGGGGCGGGTGTCCTGTGGGAAGGACACGTGTCCAAGTGCAACTCACGGCCCCTCAGAAACGCGCCTCCGCTCACTGCCGGACGCGGCTGCCTTTGCCGTCCTGCCCTAGCGCCAATCGCACACGGTCGGGCCACCCCGGGCACCTGCTGCTTCCACGACCGTGGACCAGCCCTGCCCCCTCCCCGAGCCCCTGGGCTGTGAGGCCCTGAGAGGCCGGGCCCCGGGGTCTAGGGCCAGCCTGGCCCTCGGGGTGGGGTCCCTCGTGGCACGCCGTACCCGGGAGGAGGGACAGCTCGACGGTGGGACGGGCGCTGCCCCCGCTGTGAGAAGGCACAGCGGCCATACTAACTAGCCACAAGCGGGGGGAGCTCCCCTGAGATGACCATGACCCTCCAGGAGGAGGGAGCCCCTGATGGCCCAGCCAACCGGGGCGGACACGGGCTGCCTTCCTACCTCGCTCGTGCTCGAGGACCCCCGCCCCGGGTCCAGGCCCCACAGGGCAAGGCTCTTCCTGCACCGCCTGTCCTCCCGGCCCCTCCCAGCCCTGAGGAGGCTTCCTCCCGGGGACACTGAGTCCCGCCCGTCCTGCGTGTGCAGGGCCCCCTCCTCTCCTGCCCTCCGCCTCCCCCGGGACACGGTGTGTGAGTGACAGCGTTCACTGTTCTCCCTCCGCAAACCCAAAGCAAAATGCCCCACTGCTGGCGAACAGCACGATCCCCAGCACTTACGGCTCTTGGGGACATTAAGCTTGGATATTAAAGGAAGTCTGGAAAGCACTTTAAGATCTTCCACTCGTTCCGATGACGTGCGTTTGCCATCACCCCTGACTGTGAGCACTTGTTTATTCAACGCGTTCAGAGTTTTCTGCTCCAAGGGCTCGGGGGACGCCTCAGAGGACGCCTCTGACTGAGGCACGGGGCTCTCGGCCGTGGCAGCCACATCCAGCACCCCAGAGGGACGGCTTCCTCTCCAAAGCGGCCACCCCCTACCAGATCCTCCCTCCTCCCGGCCCTGGCAGGGAGCACGGATGGTGCATCTGGAATTGGAGGGGGGGAGGTGAGCAAACACCACCCCCCCCTTCCTGGGGTCCACACACCCCGGGAAGCTGATGGGGTCCCAGGGAAGGACTGGGGAAGAGGCAGCAGACGCTGGAAGGAGGCTGCACGGCCCTTCTACGTGGCCCTCGGTTGGGCTGGGGATTCCACGAGTTACCCCCAGAGGACCCCAGAGCCCCTGCTTTAGGCAGCAGCCGTCTCGGAACAGGAAAGCCAGGGAAGAGCCGGAGACTCACGGGGAAAGCGGTCTTGAAGGGGCATCTCTTGGCATCTCAAGACCGAGGGAGGCCAGGCCCCAGGTGTCACCGGGATGGGACTGGGCAGGAGCGGCCAAGAGCCAGTGAGACCCCAGGCGGTGGGAGTGGGTGGGATACGTAATCCCCAGGTTAGGACAAAGATCTGTCTGAAATTAACCAAATGAAGAAGACAGTCCTTATTCCCTTGCTAAGCAGTTGGGTAAACCGTCTCAAGTCGCAGGTGCGTGAGTGAGTACATCTGTCCCCCACCCCCCAGGGCCCCCCATCCAGCCTAGGCCAACGGCCCCTCGCGTCTGCTCGGAGGGAGGAAACGGACCAGCGGACGTGGAGGCAGCTTTGACTCTTCCCAGGAGGCCCCACTGGAACCCTGGTCTCTCCTGACCCTCTGAACTGCTCGGCCAAGGAGCCCCCCATCCAGCCCCAGCTGGACCCGGGAAAGCCATCTCCACTCAGGCAGAAAGCCACTTCAAGCTAAAACCCAGTTCCTTACCACCAAACCCCACAGGCAGCTCGTCCCCACGCACGGGCATCTGGCAGGGTGTCTCTCGTTCAACCCCCGACGGCCCTGCCGGTGAGTGAGGACCCAGGCACACCAAGGGGGCATCTGGGGCCTGAGTCACGGGGGACAGCCCTAGGCAAGGCAAGGGCGGGCCCGGGGGGCCCCGAATCCCCGCCTCCGTCTCCTCCCACCTGCGTGCTCTGCCCAGAACCCACTCCGCCCCAGGGCGCAACCCTGGGAGGACGGCCCACACCGCCTGCCCAGGCCCAGACTGCAGAGCGCGGCCCGCCCATCTGGGGACAGACCACTGACTGCTCCGGCCCTTGCCAGCCCCACCAGGGACACCCCACCGAGTCTCCCAACTCCTCGGGCGGAACCCCAAACCGGCCGTATTCCTGGCTCCTCTCTCACTCTCCCTGCAGACCCATGGCCTCCAGGGTCAGATGCCAACCCCAGAGCCCACGTCTGAGAAATCTTCATCTGCCCAACACGGCCCAGCCTCTGGCCACCTGCCACCTCTCACGGGACGGGTACTCAGTCATGAGCGTTTGTTCGGTCGCAGCGCACGCGTGACGGGGGTGCAGGGCCTAGAGGACCCCCTGCTGGTGATACCCATGTACCCCGGGGGCCCACCGGCAGGGAGCCCCTTGGGGCAGCCAGGTGCTCTGTTTCCCCGCTGGTTTCAGCCTTGCTTTCTTCCCGTTATGGGCCAAACCGGCTCCCGCGTTCCCGCTGTGAGGTCCTAGCCCTGGCTGGCCCCGGAACGTCAGGACGCGGCCTTACTTGGAACCGTCACTGCAGATGGTGCGAGATGAGGTGCGTCAGGGCGGGCCCTGATCCCACACCACCAGTCTCCTCCAAGAGGGGGAAGTGTGGACAGAGACGTGCCCACAGAGACAGAGACGGGGAGAAGGGCAGGAGGACCAGAAGGCGGCGGCCACCGGCCACGGGGCGGGGCCCGGAACACACTCTCCCTCACAGCCTCAGAAGGAGCTGGCTCTGCCACGCCTCGAACTTGGACTTCTGGCTTCTGGGGTGCTTCGTCCCGGCAGCGTCGGCCGGCTCACGTTCTCCGTGCACAACGCGCCACCCGGCTCGGCGTGTTCTCCGAACTTGAATTAAACGGGACGCAGAGTGTGATACCCGAGCGACGTCTGAGAGTTGCTCCTGGGGCCAGGAGCGGTGGCCTTCCCTTCTGCCACCTGCACGGCCGAGGGGGTGTCCTCGCTCCCGTCCCGTCCGATCGGGCAGCCTGACTTCTGCCGGCCCCTCTGTCTCCGTCTGTACTTGGGGAGCACCCGGAAACCCTGCGGGGACCCTGAAGGGGCCGCGAGAGCCTGTGTGGCATTTGGAGGAAACCGTGTCGTCGCATCGGGGAGCTCTCTGGACGCACGTCGCTGCGGTCACATGGAGGTTCTTCTCGTTTTTTAAGCAGTCTCTGACTTTTCGGTAAAGGTCTCGTATTTGCCGCTAGGTTTCCTCCAAGGAGCCAACGCGAGGTGGCTGCTGTCATCCCAAGCAGCGTCTTCTGGAGAACCACCTCTCTCCGGCTCACCCAAAGCCTGGCCAGCCCTACGGCTCAGCCGCCGACCCGCTTCCGTGCAGGCGACCGTGCCCACACCGACAGCGGCGAAGTCGTCCTCCTCTCTAGTCGGGACGCCTGTCCTCGCCCCGCCCCGCCGGGCCGTCTAGACCCCCCCCTCCCCCCGCCTTGACCGTGAACCTCGAAAGCTGTGCCAGGATGTGTGAGATGCTCCAGCATGGCCTCACCGGACAAACTCCAGTCACACAGGTGCTCTCCAATCGGAGCCCTGACCACCAGCCTGTGTGCGCGCGGGGGGCGCGGGGCTGCCGTGGCCTGTCTGCCGAGCAGCCCCTCGTCCAGGCCCCAGGCTGCGCCCGGGGGCAGCCCCCTTGGATGTCACGTCATCTCTGACACGAGCCACGCGGCATCCCGGCGAGCGTACGAGACGGGCCGAACGGCCAGCCACCAGGAGGGACACCGCCTGTCCGAGGTGTGCGCCCCCCCCACCCACCGAGGGGGGTCCGCCATCCAGCCCGGCCCGGCCCTTCCTTCGTACCCGGGGAGCACCTGCGATGGGTGCACAGGTGGTCAGCGAAAGCCGTCAGCGGGCGAACGAAAACGGCCACAAAGCAGCAGCACTGACCACAGCGGGGTGGGGGACCTTTAAAGCGCTCACATGTCACCACTCCACGCCGAAAGGGCCTCAGACGGTGTATGGGGCACGTTTCTGGGACCCCTCCCCAGCACAGCCCCGGGTGCACCCTCACGTCGGAAGCCAGCCGGCCAGGCGAGGGTCCGAACCTGCTGCGCACACGCACGCGTGTCTGGCCGCAAACGGCAAGCTGCCCTCTGACTTGAGGGACAGAGAACACGTCCGTCACGGGCCGAGTGCCTGTGTCTCCCCGGCTGGTGCCCAGGGATGGCATCCGGAGGTGCTGGAGTGATGAGGTCGGGCCCTCGCGAATTGAACCGAGGCTGGAGAGCCCCCCTGAGCGTATGTTTCTGTGAGACCCCCC